GACGGAATCTCCTCCTCTCCCTGACGGAAAGGGAGGGCAAGGAACCTCATCATCCCTCCTTCCTCCTGAGGGAATTTGAGAAGCGATGACACGCCTCCTTTTCCTTCTCCTCCCCCTCCTCCTAAGTGAAGCCGTTCCCCTGGCGAAATGGAAGGCAGTTTGGTTACACAAAAATGCAGAGAGAGAGAGAGAGAGAGAGAACAATAGTGAAAGCGAGAGCGAAGAGAGAGAGAGAGAATCAGAAAAGAGAGAGATGGATATACAGTGCGGTAACCATGAGCATCTATCTATATATCTATATCTATATATATATATATATATGTATTAGACACATAAATACATACTCATATGGGGGGGGAGAGAGAGAGAGAGAGAGAGACAGACAGAGACAAACAAACATAGAGAGAGAGAGAGAGAGAGAAAGAGAAAGAGAAGCAATAGAGAGAGAGAGGACCAAAAAAGAGAGGATCGAGAAAGAGAGAAGGCGCGAGCGAGACAAATCACGAACACCGCCCCCGAACAACTCCGAAATCACCCGTCCAGAGAGGACCGCCCTCGCCGGGACAGGTCAGTGCGCCCGCAAAGGGGACCCGGAGGAAGCCAGCAATGGATGGGGAGGCCCGAAAAAAACAAGCCCTTGACTCGAACCATTACCCGTGCGAGCAAGGAAATATGGATGATCGAGCGAATGCGCGGATGATGAGCTCGACGGCAGCAAATGGCATGCGCTGAAGGCGTTAGGAGCCAGGTCGAAAAACAAGAGGTCGTAATGGAGTGATGCGGGTACGCCTGGCATTTCCTGAAGCACGAGTGGACAAGGCCATTCACCGTACATCGAAATCCACCCTCATCCCATAGATCCCTTCCCATCCGACTGCAGTTATTCCTCCCCGTCTCTACCTCGATCAGCGGGCGTATGATAAGTTCCAGTGTGCGCAAGTGGGTCGCGCAGCATCTCATGCATGTTGAGACTTGAACTGTGATGTGCTAAGGTGTCAACTTGTGAATAAAAAATACGGGGGGGCATGTGATTAACCTGTGGTTTCCCTGCTCTGGCGAATGGCGGGGGGGCGCCTGGGGAGGGGTGCGGGAGGCAAGGGCGGCGGAAACAGGGGCCGTCGCCTCGAAGGATGCGGGCCCAGAACCCTGGAGCTCCTGCCGGGACCAGCTCGGTCGTTTTCCGGCTACCTCGGGGCCCGCCGAAGGCCCTGGGACCCGAAAGCGCGACAAACCTGCCCGGGCCCACCTCCACTGCAGGACGTGCGTCCACCGCGGCGCCCCTCAGCGAGGCCAAAAAGGCGAGCCAGCCAGGCGTAGAGCGAGGCTCGGCGCGTCCGAGGGGGGCGTGGGACAAAAGGGCACGACGTCCCCCAGGAGATGCCTCTCGAAACCGACAGCGGCCGCTTTCGGGCAAGGGCTCGTTGCATCGAACTGCCCAGACCTCCGACGTCGTGATTTTTCCACAACGTCGACCCCCAAAAGGTCTGGGCCCCTTCCCCGGGACCGGTTTCTCGTCCTGAATCGGTTGACGGCCCCGAGGCCCGGGAAAGGGCCCCAGGAGGCCGAAAAGAATGAAAAACCTCACGTCGTGATTTCTGTCACGACGAGAGGGGGGGCCTGGGTGACAACGTTCGCGGCGACGCCACCAGCAGGCAAAACTGCAATTGTTCCACACACACACACACACACACTCCGCGCCCGTTGCGGTCGCGCCTGGAAGCCGACTCTGCCCGGCCAAGACTGGGGAGGCGACGGCCGGCTCGTCTGGCCCGCCGGGGCGGCGGGCCCGACGAGAGGGGGGGCCTCCTCCATCTCTCCTCCATCTCTCCTCCATCTCTCCTCCTCCTCCTCCTCCTCCTCTCCTCCTCCTCCTCCTCCTCCTCCTCCTCCTCCTCCTCCTCCTCCTCCTCCTATTGGCTACCTACCAGACCGCCCCAACCCAACCCAAATACCCAAATGTGGCTCGAATTTCGGGTTGGTGGGGGAACGGGTTCCATGTGTCTTTACCAACTTTCCCCGACCCCCCTCCCACTGGAAATGAAAGGCAAATTGAGGCCTTCGGGTTGGGTGGGGGTGGTTTGGTGGGTGGTGGGGGGTAGTAACAGGGGGGGTCTGGCGAATCAGCTCACGCAGTGAGCTGATTTTCTTAGCGTCTCCTGGCGCCTCCTGGCGCCTCCTCCTCCTCCTCCTCCTCCTCCTCCTCCTCCTCCTCTTCCTCGTCGTTCATGCCGTTGGCCATCATCCGCGGCGCGGTGGCTCCCCGAGCTCTCCGAGCCTAAGCACGAGTGATTAAAGCAATCGTGCCCCGCTGTCGGGGATCTGCTGACCTGGGCCCATCCAGACCCAGGTCACTCAGGCTGTGCTGAATCCTGCAAGATTGCAGTCGGGCATGTCGCACTACAGGCAGAGCTTGGACGAAATAACATAAATACTTCAAACATGCACCAAAAACAGTCAAACATATAAAAAGGTCCCCAGACTATTTTTTTACTATTTTAAAAATTTCCTCTGTAGAGGGACACGTTCGACTTAAGGCAAAATCCTGCAGGATCCTGCAGGGTCTTGCGCCCAAGCCCGGGTCAATCAGCCCTGGCCCTACAGGATCCTGCAAGGTCGGCCGCTCTGACTGACCCCCGTTTGCATTGACCCCCGTTGCAAGGCTCCCGACGCTGGGTCTATTCATCAGCCCCGGAGAGGTCACCCATTTGCTAATCACAAGCTGCCATACAACAATCGAGGCAGAAATTGGAACACGATGTGCCGAACAATCAAGGCAACGCTGAGGCTGATGAACATTTTCCGTGTGCACAATCTGGCTCGCTGGTGTGAAATATAGCCGTGGGCATAGTTCAAGCATGTACGGGTTTGACGGTTGAGAATGCTGTGTGCTGTGAACTGCGGCCTGCGGCCTGATGCGCCACAGTCCCACGCCGAAGCACACCTCACCACGTCATCTCCGAACCGCCCCTCAATTATCTCCACCTCTTCCTCTTCTCCAAGTCCTCCTCACGCGCTGTCACACACATGGCACATGATGTAAATCCCCACTCAAACACACACACACATAAACACACACACACACACACACGCGCACACACACACAGACACACACACACACACACACACACACACGCGCGCACACACACACACCTCTCTAGGGAGAGCAAGAGGTACCCATACCGCTACTCCCTGGACCTCCCCTGGAGTGCGTTCTGACCAGAATTTCGAGGTGAATCCAGCGGTGGTGACGAAGGCAGCCCAAGAGGCCCAAAAAGGGGAAAACGAGCGAAGGGTAGAGGTACGGGTACCCTTTCCTCCTCTGACTCTCCCGATCTTTCTCTTCCTTCCATCGCCCTCTCTCTTCTTCCCGTGTCTTCCTTCGCCCTGCCTCTCCTGCTTCTTGGGGTACCATCAGATTAGGTCGGGCATGTCCCCCTATAGGCGGATTTAGGACGAAACAAAAAAAACGATGATCAAACAATCAGCAACAAATGGCAAAAGCACACAACAGTCAAAAAACATCTCCAACCAAATGTTTTACAACTTTTAAACGTCCTCCGGTAGAGGGACATGCCCGACTTACAATAAGGTACCGATACAGCTACCCCGAGACCTCTCCTGGGGTGCGTTCGAACAAAGTTTTCGAGGCGAACCACCTCTTGTTCCTCTGACTGTAACTGCCTCCTAGATGGGGTCGGAGTAGACGGGGTCTGAGGGTCGCGCCGCATCGCTGATGCATCTGCGATACATCGCCGATGCATCGGCGGTGCACCTGCGACGTCGGCGCTGCATCGGCGCCATCGACGTGGATAACATTGGGCTCCATATCGAGCCGCATCGCCGATGCATCGGCGATGCGGCTCGGACCCCATCTAGGGGGCCTAGATTTAGGTCGGGCACGTCCCCTACAGACGGATTTTGGACGACAACAAGAAAATAGACAAATGAGGAATGCAAAAGAATCAGAAAAGAAAATGGGTCGGAAAATCGTCCCCGCACTATTTTTGGACTGCTTTGGGAGATTCCACCTGTAGAGGGACAGGCCCGGCTCAAGCCCAGACCAAGGCCACGCGAACGGCGATGTCTCTTGAGGGGGATGTTGGGAACTCCCTCGTCAGAAATCACGAACCACAGTCTCCTACACTTCCCGCGTGCGAGCGTGTCGAAGGAAACCGACACTGATTGCCAGCCTGGAACATATCCCTATCCCTAAGCTGGGCATCGCCTCACCACAGTGCCGATCTTAGGGATTCCCCTGCTTTTTGAGGGCGCCTCCCTGAGATCGTCATCGCCTTTTGGCGTGTCAATCTTAGGGATAGGGATCAGTTCGAGTCCGGTAAAAACAGGAGCGCACCGCAGGAACGCGCGAGCCACGCGCACCCACAACACCGAAACCTACACCGCCATGACCCACGTCGCCGTTCGCATGGGGGGAGGAGGAAAAGGAGGAGGAGGAAAAGGAGGAGGAAAAGGAAGAGGAGGAGGAGGAGGCGGAGAAGGAGGAGGACATTACCCACAGTCTAGAAGCCTCCCAGATGGGGTCGGAGCAGCTGGGGTCGGAGGATCGCGCCGCATCGCCGATACATCTCCGATGCATCGCCGATGCATCGGCGATGCATCGGAGATGCACTGGCGATGCACCGTCGACGTTGGCGATGCATTGGCGACGTCGACGCGACAAAAATCGGGCTGCCCATCGAGCCGCACCGGCGATGCATCGGCGATGCGATCCTCCGACCCCATCCATGACTACCTACCAGACCACCCCAACCCAACCCGAAGACCAGAATTTCGGGTTGGGGGGGTACGAGTTCCATATGTGTTTTCTCGATGTTCCCCGACGCCCCCCAACTGGAAATGGAGGGCAAATCGAGACCTTCGGGTTGGGTTGGGTGCTTTGGTGGGTGGTGATACTCCGACCCCATCTAGGAGGCCTGCGGCCAGATCTGACTGCCTCCCCCGCTTCCCCCCCTCAGCCGCCCCCAGATCGGGCAGCCGGCCTCCAGGGATGGCGCTGCTTCCCGGAGCTCCGGGGGCGCCCGGGGCCCCACCTCCGGGCAGTCTCGACGGGGCCAGGCCCCGCCCGCGAAGGCGTAGGCCTCGTCCTCCTGGGGAGGGGGTCCGGTCTGCGCTGCGGGGCGCGGGGAGAAAGCGCGGCAGACGCAGAAGGCGGAGCCAGGACGAGGAGCCAGACACGATCGCGGCGTAAGAAAAATCAGGGCGGGAGGCTTTTGGCTATGCTTAGGTCGGGCCTGTCCCCCTACAGGGGGCTTTGGGACGAAAAATAACATAGACTCAAAACATACTCAAACGATGCCCACAAATACTAAAAACAACGAGTCCCCAGACTATTGTTAGGCTATTTTTGAGTATTCCCCCCTGTAGAGGGGCAGGCCCGATTTAAGGCTGTGCTCGGCCCCGGGGGAGCCCTCGGCGGGCCTCGGGGCCGTCAAACAATGACTCGGGACGAGAAGGCCGTGACAGGACCTTCAGACAACGATTCAGACAACAATCGTTCAACCAGTGATTTCGGCTGCACGCAAGAGTGGCCCTGGGTGAGAGTGACCTTTGGTGCGCTTTTGGGCGGCCGCGGGGGGACCAAACCTGGACGCGCAAGCCGCTGCTCCTGCTTCGTTTTCAGCCACCTGGGGACCCATCTGTGCCCGCACCAAAGGTCACTCTGGCGAAAGGCCACTCTTACGTCTAGTCGATGATTCAGAACAACAGTGATCCCGGGGAAAGGGTCGGGACTTCCAGGGGCGCCGTCCTGAGAGAATCCAGAAGTCGCATGTCTGGGGATCAAATCGGGCGAGGATGAGATCGGGTGAAGGTAGAATCGGGCGAGGACGAGGATGATATCGCGCGAGGAGAGGAAGCGGCATAAGTCATGGGGTCCCAGCGACACCGAATGCTTTCCGGTCACTCCACAAATACAAGCCGGTTGCTCAAAAGTTAAGGGCCCAGTGCGCAAAAGTTCAGGGCCAGGTGCTCTAAAGGTAAGGGCCAGCAACTCCAAAATTAAGGGCCTGGTGGTGTGAAGTTAAGGGCCGGGCGCGCCCTATGCAGAGCCATGATACGGGCCAGGAGGGCCCCAAACGTGGACCAAGCAGGGGCCCCATACTAGGTGTCGCTAGGACCCCATATGGCATACGTGTAAGACGAAGCCAGGACGAGGATCAAATCGGGTGAGGATACTTGGGGTCTCTGGGATCCGGCGGCTGTGGAGGATGTCTCGGACGCTGCGGTATTCTCAGAGCGTTCTGGAACGCTTTGAGAACGTTCCGGAACGCTTTGGAACGTATTTATCCTCGTCCTAGCCCCGCCCGACTTTCGTACCCGCAGGGTGATCGAGAACTCAGATTTTGGACGCTTCTGGCCCGTGACCTCTAGGGGCTTCAGGAGGCCTCCGGGCACCATGGAGGCCTCTGTTTCTGTACGTCGACCTCTGGGATGAGGCTCTGGCCTGGATGTGTGGCTGGATGCTTGACAGAACGGAATCTGGTGGCCATGCCACCATTCCTGCAGAAGTCCCGTCGCACAGGGAGCTGTGCCCCCGCAGCTCGCCAGGCGCGTGCGCAGGCAGGCGCTCGAGCGGCGTAGCCGGCCTGCGCGGGGGAAGCGAGGGGAAAGCACTCATGAAGGGGCCCTGGGGCACACAAATCAGTAGACACAGATAACAGGGGTCCCCATACTCTCGCAGATTTTCTGGGTTTTCGTCTTCCCCCCCCCACTTCCTATATCTTCCCATATTGCGAAGGCCTTACGGCCGGTGCCGCCGACCCTGGAGGGCGACCCATGCGTTCTCTAATGTGGCGGGGGGGCCTCTTGGGGCTTCCTGGGGGCCTCTTGGGGGTCTCGTGGTGGCCTCTTGGGGGCATCTTGGGGCTTCCTGGGGGCCTCTGTCGCCGAGGGCTCGTCGGGCCCCCCGTCTGGGCACCCTGTTGGAGCCGTTTGGGGAGCCTCTGGGGCCATCTTGGAGGCATCTTGGGCGGCCTTGAGGCTCTCTTGGGTCATTTTGGGGCTCTCTTGAGGCCTCTTGGGCTATCTTGGGGCAATCTTGGGGGCATCTGGGGCCGTCTTGGAGCGTCGGCAAGTTGAAACGGCGAGAACGCCAAAATCTGTCAAAAACTTTAAGGAAATCATTGATTTTTCCCTCTTCGTGCCCTCTTGGGAGTGCTCTGGGAGACTTCTTGGAGCGTCTTGGCAATCTCTTGGGCCGTCTGGAGGCTACTTTGGCGTCTTCGACGGATGGTTCGGCGATTCGGGGCCCTCTGGAGCCGTCTTGGAAGCCTCTTGGGGCACTCTTGGCCAGTCTGGGGGCTTTTCTAGGTGCCGGGACATCCCGGGGGGGATGCGTATCTGCCCCCCCCCCTCCCCCGGGACCCCCCCCCGGGCCCCCCCACCCCGGGCGGGGAAGGGATCAAAGGGAAGGGGCTTCCCTTCGACTCAGTTACGACGTTGCTCAATTTCGCTTTGCCTTCGACTCAGCTACGACGTTGCTCAATTTCGCTTTGCCTTCGACTCAGCTACGACGCTGCTCGATTTCGCTTTGGCTGGCGCGCCTGAGGGGAGGACGACGACGACGACGACAACAACGACGACGAACGGAAGAGCATCGACGACGACGACGACGACGACGACGACGACGGCGGCGACGACGACGACGACGACGACGACGTTCACGACGAATGGAAAAGCATCTTCCACACGCCGACAGGGTCGGCGGATTTTCTGGGGGATCGACGTCTAGTTGTGTCTGTGTGTTTTTGTTCCCCTCCTGAACTTACACTGCGCATCCGCCGCCGTGCTGTGGGCACTGAGTGGCGTGCCCCGAAGTCCCTGAAAGCCGCCTACACGGAGCACTGTTCACGGACGCTCCTGGGCGCTCTCGCGGGCTCCTGGGAATCCCTGCGAGACTTTTTCAAGGGCGGGGGCCCAAACCCTTCGCATGATCTGATGTGAAAGAACTCCGTTTTCACTCGCGCCATCCTGACCCCCGGCGAGCGTGGAAAGAAAACTAACAAATCCGCGCTTCCTGCCTCTTTTTTCGCGAATCCGGCGAATCTGACTGAATCCTGCGCTGAATTCTAAACTGGCGCTCGCGCTCTGAACATCGCCGCAATAAATCGGCCCCAGAGGGGCCACGAATGCTTCCTGCACGGCACCTGGGCAGAATCCCCAAAAAACTTGCGCTCGCGCTCGGGACATCCGCGCAAGATCGGCCCCAAGGGAGGGGCCAAGAACGCTTCCTGCTCCGTGTCTCGCGAATTCGGCGAATCCGACGGAATCCGTCGCAGAATCCTAAACTGGCGCCCTCGTTAGGGACATCCTCGCAAGATCGGCCCCAAGGGAGGGACCAAGAATGCTTCCTGCTCCGTTTCTCACGAATCCGGCGAAGCTGGCGCAGAATCCCAAACCGGCGCTCGCGCTCGAAACATCCTCTCAAAATCGGCTCCAAGGGACTGGCCATCGCTCGGACGTCCATTCCCTGTGTCTTTTTTTGGTTTCGTGCGTGGTCTTTTCGCCAGATGACCAAGGATGCTCCTCGATGGTCCACGCCGGAGGAAGAATGCACACGCCCGAGCGATGCCAGGGGGAAGGGCCAATCGTGCTCTCTGCGCCGCTTCTGACGGCGGCCCAAGCCGCCCCCGTCCCCACCACATCACATGTGATGTTCTCAAAGCTTCTCTCTAGAGCCGGTGGCCCGACGACCGTCGTCGACTGCATGCGCCCCAAGCGAAGCCCCTGGTAACTTGCAACAAAAATTGAACCGCCGAGGGCTGGGGAAAACCTGATGTCAACACCAATAAACGTGCTCAGTAAACTCCCGCAGCTTTTTACAGAACAACTGACGCGCACGAGACTGCCTGGGACATTGCTCACAGCGCGCCATCGCGCACGTGAAACGGCGCAGAATTGTAAACGCAAAGAACGAATACCACACGCAAGAGCTGTTCTATACAAACGGAGAAAAAAGTTTTTTCTAACGACTTGAATAACGGGGAACGTAGCGAATCGCGATCGTCGCCGCGGGGGCCTGCCGACTGAGTCCACACGCATTCCGGAAAACATGCAAATGTCATCCGGTTGTTCTCCCTTGCGTTTCTGGTGAATCCGGCGAATTCGGCGGAATCCGACGCAAAATCCTAAACTGGCGCCCTCGCTCGGGACATTCTCGCAAGATCGGCCCCAGGGGATGACGTGGGGATACGTCGACCCGTACCCTCGGCTTCGTGGGGCTTTCGAAAGGACCAGCAGTTCTGTCGGTGTATACGCTAAGAGGGCGCCCATCCTCGATAGGGTGCCTCCAAAGAGCCTCCCCTGGGTTGTATCCCCGAGCTCCCCTTCTTTTCGGCGGCGCGCAGGAGGGGAGCGGCGGGAGGGGGGACGGCTTCTTAGAGGCACCCCTGCTTCTCAGAAGGCGCGGGCCTTGCATCTGTTTGTAGACAAGGCCCGCGCCCGCTTAGAATTAAGTCGGGCGTGTCCCCCTACAGGGGGATTTTGGGCGAGAAATGCAAAGTACTTGAAACATACTCAAACTATGCCCCAAAATACTCAAACCATAGTCCCCAAACTATTCTACTACTTTGGAAGATCCCCCCTGTAGAGGGCCCGGCCCGACGCACGCTCAGACGCAGGGGTGCCTGTGAGAAGCCTGCCGCCCTCCCCCTGCCCCCCCCTGGGCGCCTGGCCGACCCCTCTTGGACGCCCGAGTTATCCGGGGTAACTCGGGTCCGGGGTAACTCGGGTTTGGGTTCCCGAAAAACGAACCCGAGTTAACCCTGACCCGAGTTACCCCTGATGATTCGGGCTCTGGACGCCCGAAGTATCCGGGGTAACTCGGGTCCGAGGTAACTCGGGTTTGGATTCCCGAAAAACGAGCCCGAGTTATCCCTGACCCGAGTTACCCCTGATGATTCGGGGCTCTGACCCTCTCTTAAGGGGAGCGGAGAGCGACATGAGCATAAAAAACAACTCGGAGGTCCGCGCGGATTCCTCGGCTCCGCGCCGGACCCCTCCGCGCGGGCCTCGATGCCTCGCCCGCGCGTGCTCCTCGTATTCCTCGACTCCCGCTTCGTCGCCTCCTCCACCTCCACCTCCACCTCCTGCTCCTGCTCCTCCTGCTCCTCCTGCTCCTCCTGCTCCTCCTCCTCCTCCTCCTCCTCCTCCTCCTCCTCCTCGTCCTCCTCGTCCTCCTCCTCCTCCTCCTCCTCCTCCTCCTCCTCCTCTCCCTCCTCCTCCTGCTCCTCTTCACCCTGTTTTCTGGGCAACTTGACGCGTTGCCCATACTCTTGGACATTGTCCGAAAAGCCCGCAAACCGTCGACCCCGGCAGGCCCGCAATCTCACCCACAAGAAGGGTAGAAGCACACTGACCAATACTCGTTCCTGCGCGCTGCCTCAGCTCCACGCCACTACCCTGCATCGCGTCCTCCTCCTTTTCGCCTGTGCGACATTCGGTGTACTTCAAGTTCCCTGGCCGAGCAACGCTACGAGGTAGCCTCTTGCCACGTGGGCCTGAACATCCAAACGCCTCCCGAAATCTCGCCGTGAATCCTTTCTCTGCGCAGTCCTTCCATACCACCCTACCACCCGTCTTCAAATGGTGCTTCCGTTGGCCCCCAGAGATGTGTTCCTGCCACGCCACAGGAAACAACCAGCATGCCCGAAGAGACCCCCGAGAGGCCCAAAACGAAGCCCCTAGAGGTTCCCCAAGAGGCCCTCCAAAACCTCACCCGTGGACTTCTTCCGTCTTCTGGAATCGGTGGGATGGCGTAAACCTCTGGAACAATTGAGCAGGGACCGACCGTCCCGGCCTTCCTGTGGGCCTACCACGACATGTTCATAGAACCCTCAAGTGTTCTAATAACAAAGACAGTTCTTGGAACATTAACCCGATGTGTTCAAAAAAAGACAGTCCCAGCCAGAAATGTTCTAAGAGGAGTATGTGCAGACAACATAAAGGTTGTGAGAAAATTGTTTGGCGGCCCTATAGGCGAGCCAAGACGCTTCGCCACTGCTTGAAACAAATATGTCTCGGTGATGCCGATGCAGCCCCAAGACAGCCCCAACGGGCAGAGTCCCCCCGGCCGCACCCCCCCCAACGGCCGGCGCGGCCGCACCGTCTCTGAACACACTTGCGACGCGGGCGTGCTGGAAAGGCGGGGGGCGGCGGTGACTCGTCGCAGCCGCCTTCGACCCGCCGCCGGCGTGGCCTGCCAAGGGGATACTTGGCATGGCAAACAGAATACGTTCGGCGTTCCAAGGGGTGTGGTTTGCAACCGGCACCCTGGGGAACATCCTGGAGGGCAGCCTAGGGGGCGCGCGGGGACCTCGATAGAGTTCTCCCGCGCCCCGAGGAGGCCCGACGAGGACAGTGTCGTGTCACCCAGGCCCCAACGGTGCCGATCGCAAACCACATCCCGGCGTACCATACCCTTTTCAGTCGCCGATCCGTTTAGTAGGAACATGGAAATCCGACACCAACACCACCAAAGACCACCCGCGGGAGGAGCCGATGGGGAGGGTCCCCCTGGTGGTGTGGTACCCCCCCTCGCTCGAGACATCCCCCCCCCAGCTCGGGGAGGCATCGTGGACCTCCTCGCTGGAGGTGGCCCCCTGGTGGTCCTGGTGTCGCTTCTCCTTCCCCCCCAGTTTAGGTGGGGGACATTTGCGCGGGCGTCCTGGAAAGGCCAGGGGCGGCGGTGACTCGTCGCAACCGTCTCTGATCCGCCGCCGGCGTGGCCTGCCAGGGGGAGACTCGGCGTGGCAGAGTTCGAATGCGTTTGGGTGGGGGACGCACTGGCCCGGATCAACGCAAACCCGAGTCGGCCAAGGCCAGCCGCGCAGTAGCTCCCACGTGGGGAGAACGGCTCCATGTGGCTCGCCAGAAGGGGATGCATCGACCTCGAATGGCTGGTGCATCGACGATGCATCGTCGAGAGCAGGGCGCGCTGCCCAGCGACACACATGGGCGAGACATACCGACGACACACGGGGTGGCCTTCATCGAGGATGCGTCGACGCCACATGGGCGATGCATCGGCCATCCGAGGTCGATGCCGCCCCACGGCTCCGTGCAACCCGGATCAGCCCGAGGGAATCGGCCGAGCCCCACGAGGGCTGACACCCGTCCGCGATTGGGCCCTTCCGCAAGGCTCTGGATTGGTCTTCGGCCCAACCCGCCTGCAACTGCCCGCCCACCCGGAACAGATGCTCCCAGCTGCTGCTCCGCCTCAAGAGGTCTCCAAGGTGGCCTTTGTCCGCAACGGGTGGGCCCAAGATGCCCAAAAAGTTGCTTCCAGGTAGGATCAAGATGCCTCGAAGAGGGCCCCAGATGGCCCCAGGCCGGTCCAAGAGGCACCCGGAACGCCACGAGGCCCCAACCCTACAGGAGGGGCACGGCAGGCGCAGATCATGTATTTCCATGTGTTTCTCGAGGGTGTTTCCATGTGTTTCCGACTCTCGGTCTCCAGAGCGCCCAAGACGGCCCAGGGCCCAAGCAGCCCCCAGGGCTGGACCGAGGCTGCCCAGAGGAGCCCCCACGAGGGCCCCGAGACGGCAGCAGGACGGAGCGCCCGGACGGCCTCCGAGAGTGCCGGACGGCACAGGAGCGCCCGACGATGATCCCACCGAGCCACAGGATGGCTCGAGCGGGTCCCAAAACACACACACACAGACACACACAGACACACACAGACACACACAGACACACACAGACACACACACACACACACACACACACACACAGACACACACACACACACAAAAAAAAAAACGCGCACACACAGTGTGTGTGTGTGTGTTTGTATGTTTTTTGTGTTTTCCCACAGTGTGTGTGTGTTTTCCCCACAGGTGTGTGTTTTGTGTGTTTTGTGTGTTGTGTGTTTTGTGTGTGTTGTTTCCCACAGACGTGTGTTTTTCCCCACAGAGCCCTCATAGACGGCCCCAAGAGTCCACACGAGAGCCCCGCGACAGACCCGGGACGGCCGCAGAGGGTCCCTCCCCCAAGTGTCCCCCGCGTCCTTCCCCGACAGCTCGGGCAACGCGGGGCCCACCGGCATTACCGCACCGACGCCCGACATTCCACCACGCAGGCGTCTCGCGACAGTTAGGTCGGGCGTGACCTCCTACAGGCGGATTTTGGACGAGCAATGAACAATAACCCCAAACCACTCCAAAACAATGAAAAAATAAAAAAATCGTCACCATATTATGTTTTGACTATGTTTGAATACTCCTCCTGTAGAGGGACATGCCCGACTTAACGCTACAAATCCCTACACTCGGAGGCCCGCGCAGAATTTTCTCGGGCCAGCGCTATAGCTATCCCAGCAGCGCCTCTGGCGCCGCCCCTGGCAAATTTCGCGCGCCAGGGCAGGGGATCCAGCGCGAGACTTTGCAAATCAGCGCGGACCTCCAGCAGCTTATGTTCACACAGGTCTCGTTCTCCGGAAAGGACACGCCCAAGCTAGCTAGCCGAAACTACATCAAGAAGGGGGGTCGACCACGCCATCAACTTCTGTGTTTCGTGTGTGCGAATGCATTATGGATAATAATGGTCATATGGTCATTCTTCTTACCTGTATTAATACATACGGGGCCCCCAGAACTCTCGATCCCTTCCCAAGTACGCTGCTTTCTTCTCGGAACGCTTTCTGACGGCCCCAAGGCCAAAACAGAAACGGCTCTCAATGGCCGAAGCCTGTGCCAAAAAAACATCCGTCTTGATTTGCCAACTCGCTGGATGCCTGGATTTATACCGAGCCCCCATCCTACATGCTCGTTCTGGGGACATTCCTGGAACCCCTCGCTCCACTGATGCGTCGATGCTGCGTCGAACGTCCCTCGGCTTGAGTCGAACTTGAGCCGTGCTTGAGTCGAGCTAGAATCGAACGAGAATCAAACTACAATCGAACAGATCCACTAGGTGTCCCCCAGGAAAGCAAGATCAATCGACATCGAATCGGCAAACCGGATCGAATCGAAACATGCACCGGGTCGGGCTGCAACGGCACGCAATCGAAGACGCATCGGATCGGCTGCGTCAGGATGCACAACAACGCCATGCTCGGGGATCTTCTGACCCGGGTCAATCCAGACCCGGGTCAGCAGGAAACCAAAAACTGCAATGCAGGGAAAAAAAACTGCAACGCAGATATTCGCAAACCCGGGTGAGCCAGAGGGGATATTCGCAGACCCTGGCTGACCCCCGTTTGCATTGACCCCCGTCTCAAGGCTCCCGACATGCGATCATCCGGCCCCACCGGATCGTCGGAGCACCAGAATCGAATCAGACCGGGCCTGCCAGGAGTCGAGATCGAGTCGGATCGATCGGATCGCAACGGACCCCAGGCAGGCCCCCCAAACGAACATCCGACCCGCCCGCCCAGCTCCGGGTGGGGCATGTCCTCCTCCAGGCGGAATCTGGAAGGAAGATGAAACATGGTCACATCAATATCTGAGAGCAGCAAACAAACGTCCCTGGACGAATGCTTGACTACTCTTGAATCTTCCTCCTGTAGTGGGGCATGCCCGACGACATCGGGAGCGGCCAAGAGGGGGGGTTCCACGAGGGGGGGGTGCAAATCATGGCCGGCGGCATGTGCCCCGCCCCGGGGGGGGAGCCAGGGACGCAATGAAACGAGAGGAGGCGCCACAACATCTGGGGAAATATCATGGCCCCCGCCAGGATATCCCCCCCCCTCGCCATCGCTCGGACGTCAATTTTTTTTTGTGTTTTTTTCCGGTTTCGTGCGTGGTTTTTTCGCCCCATGGTCGAGGATGCTCCTCGATGGCCCTCGCCGAAGGAAAAATGCACACGCCCGAGCGACGCCGAGCCCCCCTGGTCCGCGCCCCCCCTCTTCGCCGCCCCCGACGAGAGCCCCGCTGCGCTCCTTCGCCCCCGGGAAGGCCGCCTGGTCGCCGGCGAGCGGCTCCTCCTGCCGCCGAGCACGGGGGGCGTCGGGCACGCGGGGGCGAGGCGTGGCCCTGCGACCGGGGGAATCTGTCGACCCCCTAGTGCGAAGTCGGGCCTGTCCCCCTCCAGGGGGATCTTCGATGAAAGATGAAAGATACCCCCAACAAAATGCAACAAACAATCCAAACATAGTCTGGTGACTATTGTTTGAGTATTGTTTGACCTTTTTGGGGCACTTTTGGGATATGTTTCATTTTTCGTCGAACATCCCCCTGTAGGGGGACACGCCCGACAGAACCCTAGTGCCATGTTGCTCCCATCGTACTTGAGGACCACATCCCAGAAATAACCTCGAGCACCCAGAAAAGTATCGGATCGATGTCGAACGAGTCTCGCATCCAAGGGCCCAACACGCGAAAATCCTACAGTCTCGGTACTTGCTTGGTGCTCGAAACTCTTTCTGGTGATCCAGGTTAGAGAACCCGTTGGAACATCATAACCCAATCGCAGGCTTCGTGGAGTGGTCGAATGGACCAGGAACCTGGGGCCCAACCATGGGATACACGATCGGGGGGCGTGCATCCTCGATACAGGGTGCGTCCGAAGAGCCCCCCCTGGTGAGCGTTTTTACCTAACAGCGAAGACTGATAGGTTTCTAATAGGGTCAAAAGAGAGCATCATGACGCCCCAAGGGGGTCCGGGCAGGATCCAGGGTGATGCCGGGGAACTCGTTTTAAGCAAACAGGAACGCACTTCGTGGTCTTCGAGTTCCCAGAACTCCATTCCTGGGCATGATTTTGAATGCCCGGAGCCAACTCTAGGCCACTTCGTGTTCTTCGTGTTCCCTGAAAACCATTCCCGGGCCACATTTTGAATGCCCGGAGCCAACTGTAGGCCACTTCGTGTTCTTCGTGTTCCCAGAACACCATTCCCGGGCCATATTTTGAATGCCCGGAGCCAACTGTAAGCCACTTCGCGTTCTTCGTGTTCCCAGAACACCATTCCCGGGCCATATTTTGAATGCCCGGAGCCAACTGTAGGCCACTTCGTGTTCTTCGTGGTCCCAGAACACCATTCCTGTACCACATTTTGCTTGCCAGATGTCCCCGTTCGAAAGCAATGACTCGTTCGAAGCAAAATCCTTTGATAGCGGTGCTTCGTTCGGAGATAAATAAGCTACTTGATAGCAGTGTCTCGTTTGTACTATTACTGCTACTAGTCCTTCTACTGCTACTGCTAGTGGCATTACTGCAACTGCTGGCATTGCCACTGCGACTGCGACTGGGACTGCCGTTGCCACTGCGACTGCCATTGCGAATGCGATTGCGACTCCGAGTACACCAGAATTCTACAACAGGAATCCTACATGAATCTAAAAGGGAATGCTTCCAGATATGCTCATATACATCGCTGTTAGTTGCTTTGCCGGGATAATTTTATTCGGCGTTTCGACATTGGGGGGAAGGGGGGAGGGGGGGTCTGGCTCTGGACCTCTGATTAGTGCGACTGTTTGCAAGAGTGCTGCCTCTGGGGGAGACTCCACCCGCTCGAAACAGGTTCCCAAAAACAGCCAAGATCTACTCCATGAGGGGGAGGAAGGGGGGTTGCGAGGGCCCGCGCCGATTAGCAAAACGCTGAATAAAAGGAGATCACCATGGATTGGCTGTTTTGGGCGCCTGTTTTGAGCAGATGGAGATAATGGACGCGCTGCTGCAAACAGTCGCACTGAGCATAGGTCTGGAGCCAGGCCCCCCCCCTCCTTCCACCCAATGTCGAAACGCCGAATAAGAAAACGCTCACATGTCTTGAGCGGCCCAACTTTTCCGGCGGAGCTCGGAGATTGGGGGAGAAACGTCGCCTGCGACTCTGGGCTTCGACAAGCCTCTTGGCAGAGGCCTCCCGCACGGGGCCCGGGTGCGGCAAGTTGGTACCGTGCCGCCTTGGGCGTGCATTCCAGACACCGCGAGGATCGCTCTACATCGACCGAGGAGAATGGCTCGCCTCCTCGCTCCTCCCCGCACCTCCTCGCTCCTGCTCCTGCTCCTGCTCGCTCCTGCTCGTGGTCCTCCAGCTCCTGCTCCTTCTGTTCTTCCTCCTCCTCCTCCTCCTCCTCCTCCTCTCATCTTTAACGATCGGCCGTCTCCGGAACGTCGGATCGTTCAACATCGACCGATCCTGGGTCGCCGGCGGCGTTCAATGTAAAACATTGGCAACGGGGTCACCGCCTGTCGACAGGACGCGAACCGACCGTACATTGGGCCAGAAGATCGCCCTGCATCCCCGATGCATTGGCGATACGGTCATGCATCGGCGATGCATCGCCGACGTCGGTCATGCCTGTGCAACGTCGACGTGAAACAAATCGGGCTCCACATCGAGCCGCATCGGCGATGCATCGGCGATGCGGCGCGACCCTCCGACCCAATTTGGGGACCTACTGACCTGGGTCAATCCAAACCCGGGTCAGTCAGGCCTGGCAAACTCCTGCAAGATCCTGCAGGATCCTGCACCCAAACCAGGGCCAGTGCACCCCTGGCTCTGCAGGATCCTGTAAAATCTTGCGCTCCGACTGACCCCCGTT